TAACAAGTGTTGTTGGTTTTTTTTATTAATATACCATACTCTAAATAATGAATATCTTGGCGGAAACGGTGTAACTACGGTAGGAGTACTGTAGATGTCGAAATACAGTATAGATGACAAGATACATAGAAGGAGTTCCAGAAATGAGTAGTGGCTGCCATTGTGGATATTTTAGCTGTTGTATTATGAGAAGCAAAGGATATAGGCTAAATTCTGCAATTACGTACCTCCACAATTCGCGTTTCCCGTCACATCGCAATAATGATACTGTCTCATCGTGCCAATCTTCAACATCCTCAATCATCCTGATATCGCTTCCGGACTGCAAACAACAAAGTGATGCTTGCCTTTTGAGTAGGATATCTTGCGCTAATCGATAACACCAGCAGTATGCTAATAGCAAAGAGAAGTGTATTTTTACTATTTCTGTAATTGGTCGCTCACTTGCTCAATGCGGACTGTCCCGTTCTTTGGGCGGAGCATAGTCGCATCGCAATGTTCTGCGTTATGTACAATTGGACCTTTTTCACTTTCGTCAACAGCCAATTCCAGAGGTGGAATTGTGAATCCCACGCCACCAGAGGTTGGAAAGAGTCCAGGATGTGATGCGACCTATAACTGCAGGACTTCTACTGTCTGCATATTGTTGATAATCAAAAAATTTGAAAACGTACAACGGTAAATTCGCCAGATGTTTGGGGTATGTAGTCGTAAGTGAATCTCGTTCCATTTGAGCGTATAACTATTTCCGTAGGCTTTTCTTCATCCTTCTCTTTGATCCAAATTTTCACAGGGACAGAGAGATTTTCCTAAACAAAATGGATAAATTCTTAGGTGATTTGTTTCTAGCTTTGCTGTCACTGATCCAATAGCATTTGCCCATAAATTTATTTTCAACCAGAAAACATCTTAGACAAATTTATTTTCAAATTGATTTCTTTTCAGAACCAGTAACAAAAAATACTGTGCCATATACTAAGAAAGAAGTGTGAAGCCGACAACTTATATTAGCAAAAGTTTT